AGGGGACACGGGTTCATGCCCCGGTCCGGGAAGATCCCACATGGTGCGGAACGGCTGGGCCCGTGAGCCATGGCCGCTGAGCCTGCACGTCCAGAGCCTTGCAGAGCTGGTATATATATATATATATTAATTTTTCAGCCGGGAAATACCTATAGTCAAGCATACATCTTCGTAAAAGATTACTGCTAATGACAAAGAATAGATATCTATGTCTGGGAAGATACAAGAATTTGGGATCATTGAAATTCTTCCTCAAATGTGCGTCTTAATTATCTAGGGTCCCGCGTATCCAAAGCACAGAATGTCTCATCATTTTTTTCCCATCGGGAATTCTGCTCAGGGCGCACCACTGGTGGACAACTATAGTGGGTTACGACTTAACCCTTTGTATAAGGGGATGAGTGACACCCTTTGTTCTTTTTGTTTACAAAACGAATCCTGTCTCTTACGAGAAAGTTATGGCATTGATGAAGAACATATGGGACCTTGGGAATTAGGATGGGGGAATCTAGGTGGATTTCAACCTGAGTACCTGGCATTCCTAAAACTCACTGGGTCTCCCTTCCCAGTAGAGGCAGCTTCTTCCTTCCATCCTCTGACCCCTTGCTGGTACTCTCTATTAGCTGAGCCAGCAGGAAGCCAGCTGACAGGGAAGGCTAGGAAATGCAACCCACTGGGGTCAGCCTGCTTGTGATGCAGAACACAAGAGGGGAAGAGTGAGGAATGGCTCTGGAGGCAAATACGCCCAGGACAGGACACCCCTGTGCTTTCTGCATGTGCCACTAATGTCCAAAGTTCTGCCATGGCCTGTCTCTGTCAGGTGGATCTACTTTGCATTTTCCTCATCCCAGGTCTCATCTGGTGTGCTTTGCTCTCATACCTAGCCCTCTTGGAGGGCTTTGGAAGTCTTGCCTCCTTTGGCTGAACCATGCTGGGTTTCGAGGGCTTGAGGGCTTGAGGATGCTCTCAGGCCCATCTTCCTAGACATCACTCTCAGAATTGCTTCTCCATTGTTCAGGTTCCATACTGGGCCCCACAGGGCTTGCCATCTCCTGGAAAACACCCAAGGGAGGGCTTCCCTGGTGGCGCAGTGGTTGAGAGTCCGCCTGTCGATGCAGGGGACACGGGTTTGTGCCCCGGTCCAGGAAGATCCCACATGCCGCGGAGCGGCTGGGCCCGTGAGCCATGGCCGCTAAGCTTGCGCGTCTGGAGCCTGTGCTCCGCAACGGGAGAGGCCACAACAGTGAGAGGCCCGCGTACCGCAAAAAACAAACAAAAACACCCAAGGGAAAGTGGGGACTCTACCCTGGTCTCCTCTCAAACCTAACCCAAGTCATGAGCCCTTGAACCAGCTTGGGATCATTTTTAAAGGGATTCTGCCCAAAAGAGTATCTGTTGGACTGCTGGGGAAAACCAGACATTGAGAGAGGACCACGAGCCTTCCCAAAGAGAGGTGCTACCCATGTCAGGGGGACTGCAGTGAGGGGTTCAGCAGGGGAGCCGCACAAAGGCACTCAGGACTAAACCAGTCAGATGGAGTGGGGGAAGCAGAGCCGCAACCACTTCCTTACCCCCCTTACTCTCCAGTCCATCAGGCCGCTCAGCCCTAGCGTGGTCATAAACAGCAGTTAGTGGGATGGGGAAGGGCTGGTGACTGAGAGGGAGGAACCTGGTATTTTATTAGACAACCTTCTGTTCTACTTTTTTCTAGCCACATCCATGTGTAGCTTAGATGCAAAAAATTTTTAAATTAAAATTCATGAAATGTACATTAACCATTGTGTATAATCAAATAATTATGCAGACCGTACCGCTCGAAATGAACAATCTCCAATTTCAACTGAGCCTTCAACTCAGGCCAGGAAGTCTTCTATCTCCTTTAGGCAGCTTGCTTTCCCAGATACACAATGATGATTTCAAACTTTGACCCACTCAATCTACCTGCCCTTCCCCCAATCACGGCTCTCTCAGAAAATAGCCATGCCTCCCACGTTTCAGGCTAACACCCGTCTGGGCTTCGTATCCATTCTCTCCTGCCTCCTCAATAACCTTGTTCTTTCAGCTTTGTCCATTCTGCTCTTTTCAGTCTCATTTTTGCTGGCTCCTTCCCGAAAGGATTTAAACATGCACAAGGCCTTCCACCTTAAAGACAACACTTCTGGATCCTGTGTCCCCCTCTAACTACTTTCCTTTCCCTCACAGCCAAGCATGAAAGGCTTGCCCATACTTGCTGTACCCAGTCTTTCGCACCAGCCACTCACCACCCACTGTACGTTGGCTGCTGCCCAGCACTCCACGTAAACTGCTCTCTGAGCCCCCAGTGACCTCACACTGATAAATCCAGTTCACATCTGAGTCCACATCTTGCTGGACCTCTGTATCACGTGAGAATGCTTTGGATTGCAAGTAACTGTCTTCGAGAGGCTTAAACGAATAGGAGCTCTCTGCACATAACGGGAGATCTGGAAGTAAGCTGCTGGTGTTGGTTCAGCGGCCCTCAGTGTCGGGGCAGCCTTCCTAAATTCTCTCCCACTTCCGTCCATGACTGAGGATGACTGCCGAGATGGTACGTCCCCATTCAGGGCTGGAGGAAGGGGAAAGGTCTGCACCCGTCACTTGTCTCTTTCATCAGAAAAGCAAGATTTCCCAAGTTCCCCTTCTGTCTCATTGCCCAGAACTATGTTACCTAGCCATCTAGCTGCAGAAAAGATGGGGAAGTGAGTGTTTAACGTTTTTTTAGCCTTCATTGTGGAGACAGACAAGAGAGAAGGGTGTTGAAAATGGAAACTGGGCTACCACTGACTCAAACTCATCCGCGTTGGCCCGGTGTAGCTCTTTGGTTACCTGAAACCCATGCGCATCCCGCTTTCTCACATACACATCTGACATGCGGGGAGCTCACTCCATAGAGGAGGTAATCCTAAAGTCCCAGCCAGCTCCTACATACAGCTGGGAGACCAGGTACTCTGTGTACTGTGCAGGCCCCTTTCAGGTCCAGATGTGGCTTCTCATGGTTGGATGATTTAAGCTAAGACAAGTTCATTTTCCGCTACAATGAGAAAGATGGGACGTACCAAGTGTTGGAGAGAAGGGGGACCAATAGAACTCTTGCTGGAGTGTAAACTGACAGAGCCACTTGGAAAACCTTTTGGCACTATCTAATATAGCTGAACATCTGCGTTCCCAGGAGCCAGCAGTTCTACTCCTAGGTTAATACCTGACAGAGACCTGAACACTTGTGCAAGAAAAGACATGTTCTACGATGTTGAAGTAGCATAATTTATAACAGCCTAAAATTGGAAACCACCCAGATATCCACTGACAGTAAAAGGGAAAAGAGAATAGCATACAGAGATGAGAATGAATGCTCTAAATCTACACACTATGAATGAATCTCAACATAATGTTGAGTAAAAGAAGCCATAGATAAAAGAGTATGTACTGTGTGATTCCATTTATAGAACATACAGAAACAGGAAAAACTGCTCTGTGGTATTAGAAGTCAGGATAGCAATTACCTTTTAGGAAGAGGGTGGTGCTTGGAAGGGAGCACAAGCGGGTCTCCTAGGGTGTTGGTAATGTTCTGTTTCTTGATCTGCGTGCTGGTTATATGCGGGTGTTCAATTTCCGAAAATTTATTGAGCTGTATGCTTTTCTGTATGGGTACTTTTGTGTATATTATTCTGAGATAATAGGAAAAAAACCCCATATATTTACATATATGCCCCTGGTTCCTGGCACAGAGCTTCTAAAATGCTTGTAATTTCATAAGTATCTTTCGTTCTAATACTTGGCCTGTGACCCTGGTTCCAAATCCTTTGGAATTTCCTTGGTGATAGGAGTGTCCTTTGTTCTAATATGGTGACCCTTGGTGGGCCCCTGTATGGCTTCAGGATGGGTCTGATCACCATAAAGACCAAATCATGATTAGACACTTTGAGCTTTTAGCTCTACCCACTATCCCCCAAGAAGGGGAGAGGGACTGGAGATTGAGTTAATGATCAATTATGCCTATGTGAGGAAGCCTCCATAAAAATCCCAATAGTACAGGGTTCGGAGAGCTTCTGGGTTGGTGGAACACATCCACGTGTCTGCAGGATAGGGCACCCCAGCTCCAAAGGGACAGAGGCTCCTGTGCTTGGGACCCTTCCAGACCTCACCCTGTGTATTTCTTCATCTAACTGTTCATCTGTACCCGTTATGATATCCTGTGTTATATAATAAACTGGTAAATGTAAGTGTTTCCCTGAGCTCTGTGAGCTGTTCTAGCAAGTGATCATGGGAGGGAGTCATGGGAGCCTTCAATTTGTAAAGTCGGACAGAAGTCATGGGTAACCTGGGGACCTACTAATTGTGCTTGGCATCTGAAGTGGGCGGCAGTCTTATGGGGCTGAGCCCTTACCTGTGGGGACTGTACTAACTTCAGTTAGTGTCAGAATTGCATTGCATTGTAGGACACTCAGCTGGTGTTGTAAGGAATTGCTTGGTGTGGGGAAAAACCACACATCTGCTGTCAGGAGTATTGTGTGTGTGAGTAAAGGGAAAAAGAAGTGTGTTCTTTCTAAACAATCGTGCATCAATGAAATGTAAAAACCAAAACCACACGAAAAATACAGGGAAACACATTCAATGCACAATGTGAAAAAATAATAAATGCTTCCTTTCAGAAAAAAAGAATGGAAGATATGCAGTATCCCCCAGTCAGTGGCAGTGTATTAAGTTCTTGTTGGGAAATCTGGCAGCCCTTCCCTTGTTTAAACAGGAACAGACCAATGTTGACCAGGCTTGAGATTTGAGGGACACATGATTCCCTCAATCATTTGTTAGGCTTCTGGTCAATTCCATACATGAGTAATCACAATCAAATAACTTATCTAGGGAGTCTTTAAATGGTTTTCTAATGAAAGATTATATTTCCCCCCCAAATAATTAATATATTTACTTGATTTTTTTAAAATTAAAGCCAAACAAAAAGATATAAAATGAGGTCTTATTCTCACCTCTGTTCTCTTTCATTAGTTTCTTGTGTATACCTCAAATGTTTCTTTCTGCAAAACAAGCAAAACCAACTATTAGAATATTTAAGTCTTGTAGGGGCTGGTATCTGTGTGCTTGATTGCAGTGGAGACAATTCAAAACAAAGAAGGTAGAGAAGCCACCTATAGTCCATCTTTGCTACCTTGGGCCTCCATCTTCTCTCCTGATAAAGCTGCCTCTTCCCTGTCTCCATTTGTGCTGGCTTCAGCTTGGGTATTTAAAGAAAATTATTTATTTCAACCCAGCAAGTCTCCAAATTGTGGGACTCAGCTAATTTAGGTTGTAAACTGCAGGCAAGATGTTCCTTTCCCACCAAGGCCTTAATTTCTTTAATCTCTGCTTTCCAATCAGTTCTCTCTAATCTGGATTTGCCACTCTCTTGAAGGACTTTGCCGAAAGCTACTTAAAAGGGGAAAAAAAAAAAAAAGCCAACAGTCATGAATGTTCTGTATTGTTCCTGAGATTTCTCCCGCAATACAACTTTGGTTGGCATGTGGGTTTTTCCCAAGGTCCAGCAAGTGACAGCAGTTCAACGGTTTACCTACTGCTTAACATGTAGGTCACCAACTTTCCATTTGGAATAGAGTCTTTGCCACTGGCTACCTTAACCTTCTGTTAGCCAATTTCACGTTTTAGTATCTGTTTTTTTCGTGTCCTACTGCTGGTACCAAGTTATCTGCCTGTTAGGAATGGGTTCAGCTACAAGTTACAGAATGCTCACCTATAAATGGCTTAAACAATTGACTCACGGACTAAAATGGGGCAAGAATGAAGGTAGGTAGCAGGTGATAGTTTCCTGGATGTCATTACACCCCAATAAAGTTGAGGGGGCAAAAAGGATAGCTCCTCAAGTTTGGCTTGAACAACTAAACGGATGGCAGTCATAGTCACTAACATGGGAAAAACAGAGAGGTACACGTTTGGGGGTGAAAATGAATATTTTGGTGGGACAAGTTAAGTTTGCGATGCCAGTTGGACACTCGTGTGGAGATGCCAAGTAAGCAGTTGTTTAGAGGAGTCAGGACTTACAGGCAGAGGTCATTGTTAGAGATCTACCTTTTGGAGTCACCTGCTTGCAAATGGCAGCTAAAGCCATACGACCAGATGAAGTCACAGAAGGTCAGTGGGTAGGGAGACAAAGAAGGGGGCTAAGGATAGAACACGAAGCACTCTGATATTTACAGGTGGAGCAGAAGATGAGAGGTCAGTGAAAAGGGCCCAAGAAAGAATAGTCAGTGAGGTAGGAGGAGGACCAAGAGTACATGGCATCAGAAAACAAGAGAAGATGGTGTTTCAAAGTGGGGATAGCTGACTGTGAGGAATAGTACTGAGAGGGCAAGTAAAAACAGAGGAGAAGCACCACTGAATTTGCATGGAGATTGTAGTTTCAGCAGTGTAGTGGGGAAGAAACCAGAGCAAGATTATATGATCGCGGGGATGGGCTATTAGAGGGGGAGTAATTGGTGATTCGAGAGAGAGAGAGAGAGGACAGAGGATAAGATCCATAGAAAAAGTGTAAGCGTTGGTTAAATAGAATGAGAATGCTTTATCCATCAGACACTGAGCTTGTTGAAGGAAGAGATCATATCTTGTTTGTATTTGTTTCTCTGGTAACTCCTAGCACAGTGCCTAGTACCTAGGAGGTACTCAAGAAATGTTACTGAATTAATGAATAAATGAGCAAATGGTAGAATGGATGCATGGCAGAGGGAGGGCTGAAAAATGAACTAGATCTATAACTAACTCAAACTTCAGGGGAAGGAAAGGGGAAGGAGCCTGGAATTAATAGGGTTTCTTCTATCCTACAAAGCCCCTGCTCTCTTGCCACACGGTCAGGGAAGGGAGGAAATAAAGATTTCTGAACTTCACTGGAAAAACAGTGCCTTCTCTGGGCTATTAAGCTATTAAGTGATTCTTGATCCTAGACCATGTTTTCACCATCCATGTTTATTTCTTCATTCTGCCAACACATAAAAAGATAGGAAGCCCGGGTGCCTTGTTCTCCCAGTTCCCAGACACCCGACATGGTCCTCTCAACCAAGTCCCTGCATCTTCTTCAGTCCCTGGCTGAGACCCCGGCAGTTCCATATTTCCTGGGGTTATTTGGAATTTTTCCTTAGAGATGCATCTTACCTATCTAAGGATCAGTATATCCGAAGTACAGAAAGTTTCCTGTTTTCCTCCATCCTGAATTCCCCTCGGGGCACACTGTTGGTGGTCAATTGCAGTGGCTAATGGCTTGATCCTTGTAGAATTGGAATGGCACGCAACATTTTTTTCCTTTACGCTATTATTTTTCTTCCCAACTTGCAGTCAGAGGAACCCAGGAACCTGTAAATGTGGAGGTGGAGGTGGAGTTGGAGCTGAAAGCCAGTTTTGACACCCGCTGCATCCGCTTTCGCCACCTTAGGTCCTAGCCCTACTACGTCCCTGGGGGCTTCCGGGGTTGCCTAGCAACCTGCGGGGACTCTGGGGGTTCAGGTGGCCCAACCGAGTGTCGCCCTCGGGAAGGTAGGCAGAAGAAATGCCTCCGCCCAGCCCTTACTGGGCCTGAGCCCGTTACACGCGGAATCAGCCCAGCGGCCCACACAGCCCGGCGCCGGGCAGGGGCGGGGCCCGCGGCGCCAATGGGCGGGCGGAAGGGGTGCGCGTGCGCACAGAGGGACGGGGGTGTGGGGCGGGGCCGAGAAAAAGCGTTCTGAGGACGGGTGCTGGTGAGGCTCACCCCGTAGGGCTTCGTGTCCGGAGAAAGCTGTTTGGCAACTGCTAGCTGCGAGGGTGAGTGAACCAGGGAGCAGCCGCAATCTGGCTGCGGCCTGTGAGGCCTGTGACCCGACCTTGGAGGAGGAAGTCCGTGGGACGGCATTCAGGGGTCCGCAGCGGGCGGGATCCCGGCGTCCCTTCGCGGGGCTCGGGGCTTCTGGCTCAGGTTGGGAGGCAGGAGCGGCCTGGGTGAGGGTATCGGACCCCAAGTCGGTCCGGGAAGCTAGCCGACTAGGAGCAGAGCCTCTCCCCCGGGGCAGATGGGCCCGATCAGGGCCAATCTCTGCCCACTTGGAGACCTGCCGTGGACCTGCGCGCGGGCCTGAGTCGTAGCTCTCCATCTGCTCCTGTACCCCATCTCTCTCTGGGGGAGACAATAAGCAGGTCCTGTCGGGCGGGCGAGCTTGGCCAGGCCGTGCCAGGGGAGTGGGGAGGCAGGGGGAGCTTGTATTCCCCTCTAGTATTCCCTGTCTGGGCATGGCACCCGCCATCCACCCAGTTGCCCAAGCAGAAACCTGGGCATCATTCTCACCTCCTACACTCTTTACCCACCCACATCGATTTCATCACAAATCTCTCTGGGATACACCCACTTCTCCACGCCCAGTTCCTCTGCTCTAGCTAGTTCAGGCCACCTTCATCTTTCCCTTGGACTACTCAGTAGCCTCCTGACTGGTCCCCTGTATCCCTTCTCCATCCTCTGTAGTTTGTTATGTAGTGGAAAGCCAGAGTGATGGTCTTAAAACAGAAATCTGATCACGTCACCAGACCCCTCTCCCCATTCCCTTATCACCCTTCCGTGGATTCCCATTGCTCTTATAACCTCTTGAACAGGGCTTACAAGGCCCTTCGTGACCTGTCCTCTTTTTACTTTAACTCATCCATCTCCACTATACTGTGTCTTCAACCATATTGAAAGCTTTTTATTTCCCAGATTGGGTCAAGTTCCTTCTAGGCTTAGGTGTTTGTTACATTATGTTCCCTCTACCTGAGATGCTGTCCTTTAGCACCTTGAAAAAAAAATCATTCTTCATGCATTAACCCAGGTGTGGGTTCGGGCTTCTGTGGTACCCCAGGGCTGTTGCATGAACTGGTCTTTCTTTTCCAGCAGGCTGTAATCTGTGTGACAGGAGCCTGTCTGGTTCACAGCCCTATCTTTAGAACCTTGTGCAGCACCAAGCTGTTAATGAAGAGTGTTAGCTAAATGTATAAATGAAGCATGGCAGCTCCCTGGGCTCCCCAAATGAACAAAGAGATCAAGTTATTAAATGCCTGCTTTTTCAGAACCAGTTCTCAATCCCCAACCCATGTAGAGGTTTCTTTGCCTAGGAACCTGGTTCTTTTCTTGCTTTCAGTCCAGGACCATGGTAGTTTTAAATGGGGAAATGCCAGTCAGGTTTTTCTTTGGCATCACCTCTGGCTACAGGATGTGTGGCTGCTTTGAGGTTGATTCTCAGCTGAGGGCCCCAGCAGGAGAGAAAAGTGGCTAGCAGCTGCTGTGGTTTTTATGGGAGGAAGGCTTGCTGCAAACTCTTAGGTGTTGGTAAGACACAATGAGCGTGGGCCTGGCCAAACCACTGGTGGGACGGCTCCAAAGGGAAGTTTTTTTTTGTTTTTTTCTTTTGCGGTACGCGGGCCTCTCACTGCTGTGGCCTCTCCCTTTGCGGAGCACAGGCTCCGGACGCGCAGGCTCAGCGGCCATGGCTCACGGGCCCAGCTGCTCCGCGGCACGTGGGATCCTCCTGGACCGGGGCACGAACCCGCGTCCCCTGCATTGGCAGGCGGACTCTCAACCTCTGCGCCACCAGGGAAGCCCAGTTATTTTTTTTAGTGTAGTCAGATCCTCTGTGATAGGGAACAGCACACCTAGGTTGCAGGATCCACTGCCCTGATTCAGAGTGAAGGTGTGCTATACCAGGTCGGCTCAGCACTTTGTAATAAATTCACTAGGGTAAAGGAGAAACAGAGAAAATAGGTTCCCTGTCTTCAGAGAGGGAGAGAAAAGAGAAAAACAAACGGAGCACAATATGTGACCATATGTTAAGGCCAAGTGAGTGTGAGGGACTGCAGACTGAGGTCAGAGGAGGGAACAGTTGGTCTTGGCTGGGAGAACACAGAGGTGACATTTGAATTGGGCCTGGAAGGAACAGGGAGGACGGACAGGTGGAAACAGTGGGAACAAATGCTCTGGGACTGGAAGAGGCTGCTGGAGCTGTGAGGGAAGCCCAGTTACAGTCACGGCACTGCGGGAGCTCCCTACCATCAGTGGTCTAGCGTTTCCTCCCAGGAATGACGCTTCTCCTTGTGAAGCATGTCTCAGTGGTTGTGTTCCACTCTCTCAGAAATCTCTCCTCTGGATTTTTCTCCAGCCTAGCCTTTAATTCCTCAGAGGCCAGTGAGCCCAGGAACTCCTGGGGCTTATCTGCCAAGCTCTTTGCTTATGGCCTTGAGCTAAGTAGTTGGAGTGTGGATGATGCAACTTGTTCTTTCGGTGGGAGGAACTTGCTAATATTTCCTTTTCAATGTGAGTGGTTTAATTTGTTAAGTGGCAGTCAGATTCCCTGTGCTCCTTGTAGCACTTGTAGGGGGGAGTTTCTCTTCTGTGTTTGTAGATTTGTCTTTTGTTGTGGCCTAATGGTTAGAAACCTGCCACAGCAGACCAAAATGGGCTAAGTCCAAAATGTATGGTTCTTGACCTTTATCCTGTCTCCTATGAAGAGGGGGTAATTTGGACTCAAGCACTTGGTTGCTTTTTGGTGTCATTTAAATAGAACCTCTCCCCCGCCTACCCCACCCCTACCTGATATACTAAGTATCCAACCACATAGTTATAGGAAATGGTGCCATGGGTCCGATGACCGCTCAGCTTTTCTATCTGATAGATACCTCCAAAACTAAGTTTCATCCTCAGTTACATTGACATCAAAACTCGGCAGCGTTATCTGTGAAGGTGATAATCCCCCCCAGCTCCCGAGGACTGTGGCACACAGGCTGAGAATCACCAGCCTCTGTGCAGGCACTGTGCCCAATGCTGGGGATGTGGATGCAGTCCCCGGCCTCACAGAGCCCAGTTCCGCAGGGGGTACTGAGAGGTAATCAGGCATGTTCAAGGTCATGTGCACAGCTGTTGTCAGCGATGGACAGGACCCTTCTGAAGAGAATCACTTAGGAGCATATGGGAAGAACGCCTAAGCCAGACTTGGAATTGAAGAAGGCTTGCTGGAGAAAGAGACATCTAATGCATATGAATCTGAAAGACTTGGGAGGAGCTGGCTTCCCCCTCTGGTCCCTCTTGTCCCAGAACTCTATGGTGTGTGGTCAGAACAAGTTGTTCTGCTCTAGTTGGGGCAGTCTCTGCTGAGAGTAACTTGAGACCTTGTTTTCTGGTACCAGGTACAGTGACAGTGGCCTCATCAGGGTCTGGACACTTTTATTTGGTAAGATTGGGATGTAGTTTCTGGCTGTTCCTGAATTATTTTGTAGAGATGAGACTTAACTGGAATCCCCCTTTATATTCCATCCATATAGTCTGGAACAAAATTATGGGATGAATTGCATTAAATACATATTTGTAAAGACAAAACATGTTTATAGTAGAAATTTTAGAAGCAATAGAAAAGTAAAGAGAAGAAAAATCAAAATCATTCCTGGGGACTTCCCCTGTGGTCCAGTGGTTAAGACTCCGAGCTTCCACTGCAGGGGGCGTGGGTTAGATCCCTGGTCGGGGAACTAAGATCCCACATGGCATGGGCAAAAAAAAAAAAAAAATCACTCCTAATCTCATAATTCAGAAAATAATCTTTGTTAATAGTTTTTAGTCATTGTTCTGTGTATGAGAAATATACATACATTGTTTTGGTTTTTACAAAAATGAATTCTTTTTTTTTTTTTGACTGTACCACGTGGCTTGTGGGATCAAAGCTCCCCAACCGGGGGTTGAATCAGGCCCACAGCCGTGAAAGCACTGAGTCCTAACCACTGGACTGCCAGGGAATTCCCCAAAAATGAATGATTCTTTACAGACTTTTATAGCCTGCTCTTTTTCTCTTGGTATATATTGAACATCTTTTTCTGTTTCTGTTATGAATTATGACGATTGCATTATGATGTCCCTATTCAGTTGTGAGACTAGATGCTTCTTTTTATACCCTAGAAGTTATACATCCCAGTGACCATTGTCTCCTTAGGGAGGATACTGCTGATATCCAGCGAAGTGGGTTTGGGAAATTTTCTTAAACATTGTGGGGATGGTATTCTCCCAGGGTCCTACCCTACAGAGCCTTTTAGGGCGGGTGAGAGGGGCTGTAACACCTCAGTGGTGATGGCGGCGGCTTCGGAGCTGAGCCCTGTGTGGCATGTGCGAGGGTCTGACTAGTACCTTATGCTTTCTCCTCGCTGCTCTAGGTTTTTTGGCTGCAGCTGGCCCCTTAGAAATCACGGGCCCTTATTATCCAGGGAAGTGAATGTGTGAGTCAGGTGTTTCCTTTGTGTTGTATGGAGGTCTCCTGGCTATCCTTCACCTTCCTTTTTGAGGTCAGTCTGTAAGCCCCTGGAAAGACCAGGACTTTCTGTTTAACAGCAGTTAGTAAAGGCCTGAGCCTTGGTGGGGATACGGATGGGAACAAAGCACTTCTGCCCTCGGGGAGCTTGCTGTGTAGCCAGTTGTGTCTTCTTGCTGACCACGATTCCAAGTCTAGCCAAACCCCAGAAGTACTTGACGGAACCTAATTCCTATGGAACTCTCCTCTCCAGCGCTCTTTCACCTGGTTCAGTTACTTGCCCCCGTCACAGCCCTGGGAGGTGGACAAGGCAAGGGTTAACGTCCTCTTTTCC